TACGACAAAAACTATATACCCCCGAAACTTCGTTTACGGGTGCAAAAAAATGTCTTTCTTTTTATGACATCTCCATGCAGTTAAAACATGTTCTATGTACAAAATTAACCAATTATAAAAGAAACAGGATGTGTTTGTGAAACACCGATGCCCCCGTATGGCAACATAACATAGGTTAAAGATCAAATATATTGGTACCTAAAGTAAGACCTTTTCACACAAAAATACAAATGTGAAATATAAAACCCTAGCACCACCTGTTCAAAGGTTATGACCATGGTTTACGTTTTTAAAGGTAGGACAAACTCCGGGGTCAAGGTCAATAGGGTCAGGTTGTTGGTTTCTAAAGAAAGGCCTTGTCTTAAAGATTACATATGGGAAGTATGAAAGCCCTGGCCCTTACCTTAGGGTCAAAGTTTGTAAAAAGTAGGTTAATGTCTATGATCAAGGTCAATGGGTCAAGTTGTTGATATCCAATGAAAGGTTCTGTCACAAGGATTAATATGTGAAGTATGAAAGTTCTAGCTTTACCGTCAAAAGTTATGGCCAAGGTTAAAGTTTTTTCGTAAGTACGGAAATCTACAAGGTCAAGGTCAAAAGGTCGAAATTGTTGATTTCAAACAGAAGGTCTTGCCAAAAAGAATTGATATTTGAACTATGAAATTCCTCGTATCTACCGTTTATATATTAGGGCCAAAGTAAAAGATTTGACCTTTTGTGTAAAAATGGGTCAAACTCCAAGGTCAAGGTCAAAGGGTCAAAGTTCTTGATATGAAATGAAAGGTCTTGTCTCAAAGATTAAATATGTGGTGGAGTATGATAGCCCTGGTCCTAACCCTTCAAAAATTAAGGTCAAGGTTGTATTTTAAAAGTAGGTCAAACTCCAAGATCAAGGATTTTGTATCCAATGGAGCTTTTTTCACAAGGATTACATATGTGAAGTATGAAAGCCCTGGCCCTTACCGTTCAAAAGTTATGGCAAAGGTGAAATCTCCAAGGGCAAGGTCAAAAGGTCAAGGTTGTTGGTACTCAATGAAAGGTCTTGCCACAAAAAATATATGTGTGAAGTATAAATGTCCTGGTTACTACTGTTCAAAAGATATGGTCAAAGTAAAAGTTTGGAATTTTTGTGTAAAAGTGGGTCAAACTCGAAGGTCAAGGCCAAAAGATCAAAATTGTTGGTACCCAAAGAAATGTCTTGTCACAAGAAATACACATATGAAATATGAAAGTCATAGCTTTTCTAAATCAAAAGTTATGAGCAAGGTTAAAGGTTGCGAACAAACAGACAGCTAGACAGACAGAGAGACAGATAGACGGACGGACACGACAAAAACTATATATAAAAAGAAAAAGAAAATTGTTTAACTTGATAAAATAATCTCTACACAAACCATAAACATATGCTATATATATATTAAAAGAATTATGGGTAATATCGACAAATCACAGATCTTTTGTAATCTCTAAACTCAGCAGCTTTCCATTTGTACATGAGAACAGGTTCTCTTTCTTGTTAGGTACTATGGCTATTCTGTCTCCAGTATAGGCATCACTTGTATTTTTAAACTTTGTAAAATTCAGAGTCTCCTGAATTCCAAACAAAGACCTCCAAGTATCATCCGCTGATTTCTGTCCATCAATAATCAATTGATTGCTATATCTGATTTCCGGAGTAGGGTCAGCTGTTTTATTGGTAAATGAATCTGTGAAATAAGATATAAAAAAAAACATGGAATACATTTTATGATATATTTTTTCAAAAAATATTAATTTATTTAATAATCTTTTTTATTTCAAATTGCGTTTCTAGCATGTCTCGTTATTTGATGATTCCGATGTGATAAACGCCATTCTATTTAGTTTGCAAATACACAAAGTAAATGAATTCTTTATCCGTTTCTTTAAAAATAATTATGATAATGCCAGAAATAAACAGGTTTAATTAAGGAGTGAATTTAATAACTCAAGTTATACTGTATAAACAGGAATGTAACCAGTTTGTGCTTTATAAGCGAAGTACGACGCATTTTATTTGTATAAAAAGTATGATGCTCCATCCCAGTAATACCAGTATACTAGTACTACCTTTGCTAGGTATTAAAAAATCCTTATAATTTTAATTTTCCGTCATGAAGTTTTGAAATTAAGTCATTATATTTAAAAAAATGTAGATTATTTTTTATCCAATCAAATGACACGTTAACAAAACCAAATTTTAAATAATTCTAAGTTTATGAAGCTTTGGTAGTGACAAAAAACGAAAAAGCTTTGTTGATTATACTTACAAATTAAACTGCTCACAAACAAGTTCTCTTCCTCTGAATTAACTTTGATGAGTGTATCATTTCTCTCGAGGCAAGTGTTAATGGATTTTTCTCTCTTGAAATTGTTTCCAGCATACCGGAAACAGTAATGGCATTGTCTGGTGTAGAAATAGCCTTTTCGACAGGGACCTATTCAAAGCATATCTCATAACTAACATTGAAATATAAGGAGATTAACAAACAATTTTCAAGCTCAATAACTGACCCAAAATACATACCCGTGGTTGAATACGTTTTCCAACCAGAGGAGAAATTTCCGTTATCATCAAATAAAAAATGAGTCCAGTACAGACGACAGTTAAGCTGATCTTCATTTATTTGGAAAGATTCACAAGATGGATTACTTAAGCAAATCGCAGAACATTCTGATATCGTGTGGGATGTTATTTCAAACATAAATGCGTGATTGAAAGTGAAGTCATTCAGATCTTCACGAAATATGAAGGAGGTAGACTGGATATCTCCAGAATGTATCACCTGACTGATCATTAATAACTGTTGTATGATAAGTTGCAACCTTGATTTACGCATGTTGCTTTTTGATTATACTTGGACATTGGTCGTCTATCTAAATTATGATGTTAAACGTCATCTCAAATTTGGGATTTGTTCATGCGCAATTTAATTTAGTGTACTTTTACTAACAAACTATCAATTTTTCTGAATGAAAAATAAAAGAGGATAATGGAACCATATCTATTTTCACAAATTCAATATTTACCCTTTTATTCATTGCTTTGTCGTTGCTTTTATAGTATCTTGAAGGGTCATCTAATTTTTACAAGTAAATCGTTTTTCAATAGATTGTTTTGGCAAATAAATCTATTGTCGCTACCTTTTAACGTCGGCAGAACACCAACATATTTAGATGGATAATATTTTATGGGAAAGGTGGAGATCTTTAAAAGAAATAAAGCCACCGTGTCGGTTCTTATTAAATTTACTATACTTTGTAAATCCGAATTCCTAACAATTAGTATGAGGGACATCAGCCAAAATACGACCCATTGACAGATAATTTTTGCTTACAAAGCCATCATAACGACGGTAGAACTTATAGAATAATGACTTTAAATGGAGTTATTTAATTCCCTGTAACATCAACATTTGTTTTAGGAGCTAGGATATACCCGGGTAGAGTATAGATAAGCTTCACTTTCATTTGCAGCTACATTTGACTATGATATCAAAAAGCCTATTTTTACTATGTAAATGGTATAAATTGTAAAACTAAAATCTTATCTTTTGAAATATCCTACTTTTGAAAAAATTGGATGAGTTTATAATATCTAAAAGTTCCTGATACTTTTGAGAATATGTTCAATCTCATTACTACTACTTCTAAAATATGCTGTAGCACAAAACGTTTGAAGTTTCTCCTTCACAACATTTAATGTTAATAAATCTTTGCAAGGATTCACTAATGTTTACAGCATCTTCATATTTCTATATCAGCAAATATAATGTAAATACCAAGGGGTTGAATCAGAATTATCTGCGTAAACACATGATAATTTAGAAAACCTGTGCTTGGCAAACCATTTCCCATCTTCAAAAGCCAATTAAAACATGTCACCAATGCACCTGAAACATTGATTTTACAATAAATTACCTTATAAAACTTATGACGTATACCCAGTAGTAAAATGTACAGATTTTAGTTTATGTTTACGAGTTGTAAATCTCTGAAACTCCTTGATTATCAACATGAAACCAGATTTTTCATTTCCTATTTTATTTAACAATTTAACATTCACATCTATTATCTTCACTTCTTAGATCAGAATTATGTTTCCCTTTGTCAAAGAACCATTTAATGTCTATTTGATTTATAGGTATTTGAATTATATGATAATCTTTCCAAATTTAAAATATTTGCTCTAGAAAAAAAACCCAGAAATAAATGGGGAAAATATTATTTTCAGATCCAAGCTAGGACAATTCCAAGTTTTGCTACTGCAAACCCGCCACTATATGATAAATATTTGGTGATAGTTTCCTCAAATTTCAATCAGAGGATGTAGGAAAAGTTGTGAATAAGGATGACTCCCCCTCTAGAGTAGCGAATGGGTGATGGATCAAAAGATAGATACTCTCATCACTATTAAAAATATATCCCCGCTTTTCTGCAAAATTTTAATTTACACATTTATCTAACGTAAATTTCTAACGAAAGTCTCTTCCAGTCTTCGCAGGAGCTTCCAAACTGAAGCTGAAAAATCGACTTGCAATGTTTGATTTATATAATATTTATGTTTTGTAAATTAACATGTTAGTGCATTAAATAAAATTATGGCTTTAATTTAATATACATTTACATGTAGTTTTATTTTTTCAATTTTTTTTACTCGTGCAAATGTTGACAATTTTCATAATTTGATATATTTTGCGGTTAATTTTATAAATTTTATATTTATGCATTTTCCTTTTTTGCATGCGAGATCAATGGTATCTTTAAACTGAAATTTGGTTAAATAAATATCAAATTTTTGATATGCAAATACTGTGTATTTGATTTTATCATGTTTTACATTTATGACCTTTTACAGAGATTGAAAAACTACAATTGTGAGGTGTTTTTTTAATTCCTTTCAAGAAAAGCATACAACAATAACGGCAAAGACGCACTCAAGTTTCTATTTCGTCGTTTCATTTTAGTTCACTATTTTCCATTCATTTACTTTAGTTTTCTTCGATGCATGCACCTATTTTATGGTACAAAATGTTTTAAATTTATTCCTTCCATGTTAGGGTTGATACTGACAAAACACAGACTTTTTATAGGTATTAAGAGATCCAGCTTTCCATATGTATTCTTTCAAATCTAGGAAGGTCGTAGGTGACATGTATATTCTTCTTCCAGTGGAGGCCGTATACCCATCTTCAAACTTTGTATAGTTTAGAATCTCGTGTGTTCCGAATAACGATCTCCAGTGACCATCCGATGCTTTCTCACCGTCAATAATCAGTTGGTGACTTTTGATATCAGATGCAATGTTCAATGTCTTGTTGACAAATGAATCTAGCAAATGAGATATCACAAAAAATATCTTAACTATTCATTAATTTTTTAGCAATCCTTTTTATATTACTGTAATTCCAATATTGTAAACAATAATCTGTCAACATTTATAATTATGCATAGAGTGAAATCATATTTTAATTCTGGGTTAACCTGATTTGAACGTTAACCATTCAACTGTTCAATTACAAAACTTTAATATACAGTGAAACAAAATACAAAACAGCTCCAAATCAAAATTAAAATGGTAATTTTTATAGAAAAATAAATTTTTATTGAAAAAATATATATTAAGGTTAAATAGCGTAAAGTAGCAATAAGCAATCAAACCTCCCAACCCGAGAATCGAATGATATTTTTGTTAAATATACTAAGTAAATAAAGTTAAGTTCAGAGAATCTAAGATGGGAATGAACACTCCGACCTCTTTACCCTAAAAAATTTTATTTTGAGGTTAAATAGTCTATGGGGGCAGAAAACATTCACATCTCTTAACCAAGAAACGAATCTCAATCTGAAAAAAAAACCGAAAAATTGAAATGACCAACCAGTGCTCTTCATTCAGAAACTGAAATAAATCTTATTCGTTTCAACCTCCTACATACAAATTAAAATCATAACGAAAAACATTTAACATAATGATTTTTACTTACAAATTAAACTGCTCACAAACAAATTTTCTTCCCCTGAATTGACTTTAATAAGCGTTTCATTTCTGCTGTAGCAAGCGTTAAAGGAAGATTCCTTTGTAAAAGAATATCCAGCATATCGGATACAGTAGTGATATTGTCTGGTGTAGAAATATCCACTCCGACACGGACCTGTTAGAAAAATGTTAAACGAGATTTGATTTTAAGATCAAATGACCTGTTTGTTATTGGTGGCATAAAACAGATATGATATGAAATTTGTATACAAATTCATGATAAATCATGTATTTTTCATGTTTCATACATCGCATTGTACATGTTAGAAAGTAATGAATGACCATAAATTAGGTTAAACAAGAGTAAATTTTAAAAAATTCTATATGTAAAAACATTTAATTTAGAAGTTCTTTTTCTATTGACTGTTGCAAGTTAATTCATAACAAAAAAACTTTTTTATAAATAGAAATCAGCCACTATTTATTATATATCGGTCAATCTGGTTTTCATTCATAAAACCTACCTGTTTCTGAATATGTTTTCCAACCAATTGAGAAATTTCCTACGGCATCAAGAAAAAAATGAGTCCAGAACAGATGGCAGCTATGTTGTTTTTCATTTATTTGAAAAGATGCACACGACGGATAACTTAAGCAAAGTAAAGAACATTGATATATTTCATGAACAGAAGTTTCAATCAAAAGTGCATGATTGAATTTGACGTCATTCAAATCTTCACGGTACAAAAAATATGTAGATTGGGTAGCTCTGGATAGCCACACTAGGCTAAAAATGAGAAAATATTGAAAGATAAGTTGCAATCCTAATAAACGCATGTTTCGTTCTGATTTTTCTGGTTTTGCAACTTTAAAAGATATTTCACATTATCTCAGTTTCCGTTTTAGGGAGATTTTGTGTAACGCATTACCTTTCTTTAAGTTTGTAACCCATTAGCTTTTTGATTAGAAATGAGGAGGATAATGGATATATATTTATTCTTTCTAAAAATTGATGTTTACCTATAGTACCCTAAGCCTCCATAGTCATTTCCGGATATTATCATAAATCGATTTTATACAGCTTTTTGTTTTGGACAAAGTTAATAAAAACGGGCGAACAATTAAAGGATTAGCTTTACTGGCAGATTTATAAAAAGTCTCTCGATACTAAAGCAATCGTTTAGTTTGCAATTCTTAAAAAAAGAATATTGTGCACATTATTTGCTCTGCTCCAATCTTGTATTGTTGAGTGGACTTTTGAGAATGAATTCTATTCGTTATTTCCATTAATACCATTAAAACTTCTTTTACTCATATATTACCAGAACCAAATGAATAATATCTTATACGTATAGAAAAATGTTTTAGGTTTGTTCAGCAAATTATTACTAAAAGCCTATTTAATTACAACATTAGTTTTTCTCTCAATGTGGTCTGTTATATGAATATGCTTCGAGAGATGTATTTTTTATAAAATAATGTGATTAAGTCTGTCTGTTTCAACGGGCTTGTACATGCAGAAAAACAAGAAGGGTGGAAGATTTTTCTACACAGTGCAAAATTACAAGTATATCATCCTGGGTTTTCTTGATAAAATATTATAGAGAACATCATTGTTGGTTCAACATTAAATTTCTCTCTGATCATGTTTATTTAGAAACATTTAAATGGCATGTTCATGTTTGAATTGATTTTACTTGATAATCTAGCTAAAATTTTAGTTTAAGATTTAGGAGTCTTTTCTATTTGTTTTAGTAATTCATTAAGTCATGTTATATTCAATCTGACACTAACAATAAGACCAAGATAAAATCAAAGATTAATCTTGACCATTTATTGAAACTTTCAACACAGAAAGATAGTTTTCATTTTGTCCGTCAGCCGCTTTACATATTCATAAGGAGATTCACTATCAGTCATAATCAGACGAGTCTTATTCATTTTTTTCTTAAACTTTCTTTTTCTTCTTACTTTTTTTTTATTTCATAGATACTATTCAGACTGAGAAAAAAAGATTGGACTCTGTTTGAGAAAAACCCTTTGCTTTAATTTACCTATTAACAACGGATCTTAAATTGATATTACGTTTCTTCCATGGTCGAATTTTCAGAAGTATTTTGAATTCATAGATTCCATTTTATTAGAATTTTAAGTAATCATAAATATATTATTCAGGAGTAAAACGGTTATAATTTTTCTTTGAATATTCTATATTATAATTTTTTTCATAATTAATCGCAATTTTTGTATCTAATTCTGCTTTAAGATATTTGGCAAAAAACCTCTATTTAGTAAGAGTGCTTAATTTTATGAATGAAATCTGAATTTCTGTTTTTAGACGTTTTTCTCTTTTTTTTTTTTTTTTATAGATTTTTCTGGTAATATTGGTCGACTGTTGTTTTATGTCCCTTTCGGGAATTTTTCACTCGGGAATCATCATATAATATACTAGTGAATGGATTCAATTTTCAATTGAGCAGTAAGATTCTTTATCGTGTCTGTGCGTACCGGGGCCTAGGTTTTTAAGGTCTCATCCGAGAGACCCGCAACTTTAACTTGAAAGAGCCGAACCCTGTACGAAAGAACAATTGCTACCTAATTTTTATCGATTTGGGTCATTCGCAGTAATGATTCGAACACACGACCTACCGGTCACCTCTATGCATATTGAAAATGCATTTAAAATAGCCAAACATAGGCTCATACGCGACAAGCATGTTCTACACACATAATATAGACAAAAGTTAAATGATGTGAAATATATTTAGTTAATATACATTTTTATTGCAGTTTAAAATTTATGAAATGACCATATACAAAATTAAGCTTATGATAAAACTCATAGCTTGATGAAGCAGCAAACTTGATATGAGACATTCATGTGTGCAATCCATTCAAACTTTCCTTTTATTCAGAGAATTGCAGATAGTGTTCATTCATCTAAATGATTTCTATACTGTGATTCTGTCTGTCTAGCTTGATTTTTTCCTGGTAAATACCATGTCATTTCTGTGTAGGGGATGATTGACGAATTGGTGGTTGGCATGGTAACCATGGTCCAGTAAATATTTCATCACAGACATGTCACTTCCTGATCCTTCTACAAATTCCACGGTGATCACATTAATGGAATATTTAGATAAAGGTATAGCTTTAAGAATTTCCATTTCTTGGTCTCTGGCATCTACACTGAGCAGATCAACTGTATTTTTACCCAGTGCATTCAGTATGGATTCCAACCACAAACATGGAACCTTTATGTGTCCTTCAATGGCGTCTTCGAATTCTTTTTCAGGTTTACTTGAATTACTCTAAAATGTTATATAGTAAATATTAAGGGGATAAAACAAACATGTATACTACTAGTAATTCAATTAACAGTATTGGTTGTAATAGTTGGCTGAAATCAATAATAGGCAAGTTCAAAATCAAACCAAAAAGAATGATTCCTCTGAATATTTTTTCAGAGATTTTCTTTTTTTCTGATTTTTTTTAAAGATCCGTTGACTAAATAATGACAGATAAAGTGTTGTTACAAACCCTGACGCATGTCCTTAATGTTAAGGCTTTTCTGTGTTTCTGACGTAGTTGTCTGTAGCGCCCTGGATGAGGTTCGATGAGAAGACCGTCCCAATCCCTCGATCTCTCAA